TATGTATATATGTATGTATGTATGTATACATGTATGTATGTATATATATGTATGTATACATATATATATGTATATATGTTAATGTGTTTTAAACCATTCCCACACTTTTGCAATATTCTAAACAATGTTTCTAAACGCTCTAAAAGAGCACATAATGTCATGATTTCAGCTCCCTGCCTCCTCTGCTCTTTACCACCTGCAGACGCTCTTGGCCACGCCCACTTCTCAGCTCTGCATGCAGAACCGCTGATCAGCTGCAGCAGGAAGTTTATCCTGCAGTAAGGTGCAGGAGGAAGCTTTTTCTGCAGCTCTGGGTTGCACAAATGTGCAGCAGGTGCTAAATCATTTAAAATAATTTATTTTAAATTTTAAAAAAATTCCATGCCAGTCATGTGGCTCATCCATCAATCAGCCAATTGTGTCATGTCCAGTCTTTTTTTTTTTTGTTGAAAAACCACGATAGAGCGAGTCCGCGATAAACGAACCGTGAAGTAGCGAGGGACTACTGTATTGTGCTTTTTGTGCAGTTTCCTATTGAACTGTTTGAATGCTTCACCATCTCTAATAAAACGACTCATGTTTTCGTTTTGTTTTTCTGCTCAGGCCCTACAGGAGCAGCTGACGTCCACCGTGCAGGAAATTGGTCACCTAATTGACCCAATTTCCACTGCAGCCAGGGGGGAAGCTTCCCAACTAGGACACAAGGTATGTGAGGCACGGAGTTAATTACTGCATGCTGTGACTGTGCAGCAACAAACTAAAACCGTTTTAAAAAGGTATTTATTGAGAAGGTGTAGTGTAAACACCACATGTGATAATACCACAACAAATGGATGGTTGTTTTAATTTTTAACAATAGTAATTCCTTTGTGACATTATTGAAACATACCAAAACAACACTTAGAGAAAATTTTCTGCCATTTGCTGTTTTTTTTAAGTTCATTGCTCTTAACAGTGAAAAATCCATCTCACATGTAGAATCAAAAATATAAGTCAATTGAAATAAACAAAAACACTTTTTTGTGTGTTTTGTTTTATTGATTTGCTCCGATTGTGTTGTATTTCAGGATTCACAGAACTCTCACTAAAATGGTTTTCTTTCAGGTGACACAACTGGCTGGTTACTTTGAGCCTCTGATCAAGGCCTCTGTTGGTGTGGCCTCCAAGCTCAAAGACCACCAGCAGCAGATGACTTTTCTTGATCAAACCAAGACTCTGGCTGAGTCTGCTCTGCAGATGCTCTACGCTGCCAAGGAGGGCGGAGGAAACCCAAAGGCAAGACTGTGTTTATGTTCTATTTCATGCTTTATGCACGTTGTTTAAACCAGCTGCCTCGGTGAGATTATTTATTAACTGGTGCGTGTCTCGCCTCACAGGCGTCCCATACCCACGATGCCATAGCAGAGGCTGCTCAGCTCATGAAGGAGGCAGTCGATGACATCATGGTGACGTTAAATGAAGCTGCCAGTGAGGTGGGAATGGTGGGAGGAATGGTAGAGTCCATCGCCGAAGCCATGGCCAAGGTGAGTTCAACTGGCTTAGATGGATCTTAATGTTTAACAACCGGCTTTACAAATCATAAATCTCTGCTCATATATTTAGACTCTGATGCACCAAATAAATATTTGAACTCTCTGGTTCTTGAGTTGGAATTGGCTACAGTTATGGACTCCTGGATGAGGTGTTCCCAAGACAAGCAGCAGTGCCTCTTTTGGGTTCTGATGTAAGCTGGCCATGTTTAGAAACTTCCAGAGGGAAATGTCTGCCACATGCTCACCTGTGTCTGCGGTCAGGATTATTTGGGACATGTTTTCTCCAGATGAGCCCCATTTATTTTAGGTTAATATTACAGCCTTCATATTAAGAGTTTAACCTGACAGTCAGATTCTCTTCAGACGATCCGTCCTCTTCAGAAGTTAAACAAATTATCCCACTTTCTCCCTGTCTGTACTCGTTACTCAACAATTAGAGCAAGTATCTAAAAATAAACCCAAATTAGTGAAAAAATGTATTTTTATGACCACATTTGTTCAAACCAGAGCGGCGTAAAGAAAGTAAGTGAAACTGATTGACAGTTAACAGTGAGCACATGTTTTCAGGGGAAGGCTATTTTCTAATTAAAAGTTTTTATGATTTGTCCCTTTTGACCCAAACTTTACCATCATCAGTTGTTCCTACCTAGTTTGAATATCTTGCATTTTAACAGCCAAACTTTTAATTTCAAGCACATATAAAGAGTAGCATCAGCTAACTGTTTCTCTCTTCACTTCTCTGTGCTGGAAGTACCACTGAAGAGGAAGCAGTGACTTTGCATCATTTTCTTCAGAATCAGCTTTATTGTCATTGCACCGAAGCACAACAAAATTACATTTCAGTGCAGCCCGTTTGAGTAAAACAACAGACATGGGAAGATGGAGGTGTCTGAGGCTGCTGCCTCATGGGAGGCGCTGCCTTTTTCGTTTAGATAGGAAAAGAGAAGCACAGGGGAAGGGGAGGTATTAAAAAAAATCATATTATAGTTCATATAATCATATGAAATTTGAAAAAAAAAACTCTGCACAGAAACGGCAACATACTGATGACATCATAATACATATATGCATAAGGCCGACGAAGGCGGTGAGTTTGTCCGTGGACACTGCCAGATAGTCCTCATAGTCCTGATAAGAGATGGTGCAATGTTTATCAGCCGGCTCAGCTCTGATACAGGTCCACAGATGTCCTCGAGAAGGGAGGTTCACAGGACAAAGAGCAAAGCAGGAGGGAAGCAGGAGCGGGAGAGAAAAGTATCTGCCTTCATCAAGAGCAAGCAGGAAAGGCACTTCTTGTGGCACTTCATGTGTAATTGGTCAAAACTGATCATTTTTGCTCCACATTCTGAGTGTTCAGGTGTGTTTTCCCTGCGTGTCATTGAGTGCAGCTGATTAAACGGGGGATAATCATCTCAAATATCAATGGATGTAACAGAGCCCTCTCTGAGGTTCAAGCTGAGATGATGTAAAATTTTCTCTCATGAACTCTTGAGTCGCTCGTTCAAGGCTACAGATTGTGAGTTGTTACTTCTCTCTGCAGGAGGAGCAAGTATCATGCACTTGAGATTTTATAAATTCATTTCATTCCCAGTATGTTTTCCTCCACATGTGATTGTGTTTTGCCTCCTCTGTGACACTCACATGAGTTAACAGTCTATTTTAACAGAAAATGTTGGAAACATCTTTGTACTTCAAGGTGGCAATCAAATGTTTTGTAGCTGTTTTTAAAGCTGTAACGACGGACAGTAATTTGTGGTTAATTAATAATTTATACGAGTTCAGTATATTTGTATAGGCTGTTTGAATTAAAAGCCTCTACAAATGGAAAAATGTGTATGATTAAGGCGTAGACAAAACTTATGTTGCAGCAGCTTAGTTTTTTGTTGTTTGACATTTGTGTATCAGTCTTGCTTAAAATGAAGGCTGCAGTATCCAATTAGTGTGTTTGTGTCTTTTGTTTTAGCTGGATGAGGGCACACCACCTGAGCCTGAGGGGTCCTTTGTGGATTACCAGACCAATATGGTGAAACACTCGAAGGCTATTGCTGTCACTGCTCAGGAAATGGTAAGATCTTGTGATCAAATATGACAATTTTGGATTATTTAAGAAATAGGACTGACTTGAGAACATAATTAAATACCATCCTTTTAACAAAAGCTTATAGAAATGTCCAAAAAAGTTCAATCTGGTCCTCTGGACATTCAATTGAATGAATTGAATGAATCGTTGAATGTCCAGAGGACCAGATTGAACTTTTTTGGATTTTTCTACCTGGATTATTGAGCATGCATCAAGATACTTATAGAAATGTGCAAACATTAAATTGAATTGGTTTTTAGTAGTGTGTTTATCCATCAGATGACCAAATCAGTGACGAGTCCAGATGAGCTGGGAGCACTGGCCTCTCAAGTGACCGTGGACTACAGTCAGCTGACGGTCCAGGGACGTCTGGCTGCTTACACAGCCGAACCAGAAGAGGTGAAGGGGAAACTCAGAGACAGAAAGTCTTACTCATGAAGCAGCTCAGCACAAGTTGATTTATAATCTGTACTTTTGTGTTCTTTTTGCCGTTTCCTTAAATATTATTTCTGTAAACTTGAGCTATGGTGTTCTAAAAGGGCTTCGTGTTCTTACAGATTGGTTTCCAGATCAAGACCCGAGTGCAGGAGCTCGGCCACGGCTGCATCTTCCTGGTCCAAAAGGCTGGAGCTCTGCAGATCACCCCGTCTGACAGCTTCACCAAGCGGGAGCTCATTGATTGTGCCCGCGCAGTCACAGAGAAGGTATTGTTTGAACAAACTTTTTCTGTGACGGCATTTTTGTTGTCTGTGGTATTTGACACAGGAAGGATTTTATCAGTAACTTGATTTAAATGAGTTGTTAGACTTAGATGACCGAAACAAACTACCCTGCGTTACTCTTCTTTAAACAGTAATTATGGTTGAACAAATCTGATTTGTATGTTCTGCTTGTTTCAAATCAAATTAACTAGCTTTGCTTACTCTGTTGTTTTTTTCTTATTTATTGTAAAGCAGGAAAGCTTAATTTTTGTTAGGTCTGTGATTCGCTCACTCTGATTCTGTTTGTGAATCCACAGACTTTAATCCTGAATACATAAAGAAAAACACATTTGTATTACATCATGGTTTTCCTCGTTTTTATTATCACTTCTTTTTTTTTTTTTTTTTTTTACAAAATCTATGTAAAATTAAGCTTTTTATTAATGTCTGTATCAGATCATCTTTTACCTGTTATGATTCGTGTTCCTCATTTGTTATTTACCTTTATTTTATTTTCCAACACAAAGAAATACCTCTCATTTCTCTACTTTCTGCTATAACCAAATGATCAAATCATCATCAGCTGTATAATTACTGAATGTTCTGTGTGTTTGTGTCCCCAGGTGTCCTTGGTGCTGTCGGCCCTCCAGGCAGGCAATAAAGGCACTCAGGCCTGCATCACTGCTGCCAGCGCAGTGTCGGGTATCATCGCAGATCTGGACACCACCATCATGTTTGCCTCCGCTGGCACGCTCAATACAGAGAATGATGAGTCCTTCGCTGACCACAGGTCAGTTTGTGTTTGTTTGCAACTGTGCGAACGATATCACAAAGTGTACAAGACTGGAATCCAAACTCCACCCCTGCTCATCTTTCATCCCAGACTGACAGAATGACTTATTGGCTGCTGAACAAAGAGGAAGTCTCTGGAACTAATTACGCAGAGTATTTGAAAGTTGTGGGATGTGTCTGATGTGTTCATTCTCAGCTGAAAAACTCTACTGTGAAGCAGCGTTTTAATGAAATTTTTATTTTTTTGGTTTGTATGTGAATGGACTAAAGCTGTCAAGTGACTTCTGTGTTAACACTGTTCAAAGAGAGATTACAACTGACACAAGGCAAGACTTGTAACTTGTTATGCCGCTGTGGCATACAACCTTTCAGGTAATGGGCAGTGGCAGGTAACAGGCAAGGTTCTCAATGAATTGTTGCTTACTGATCATTGTTAAAAATAAATACATAAATAAAAAAGCTGAGGTGTAGAAAATCATTGTCATGACTAGATGAAAGGGCAGAATCAAATTTAAAATGTTTTTACAAAGAATACTTTTAATATGAAGAGAATTGCGCATCAGTTTGTGTTACCGTATTTTTTGCTGTACATGTCGCACCGCCTTATAAGTCACATCTATTATGCGACACCGCTGACGTGTCACGTTTATTACGCGTCACCACTGACAACTTAAAAATGTGGGCCGGTGTTGTGCCAAAAATCAATTGGCTGCCAAATGACAGCCACGGGAGCGTGCACGGGAGGACTTTAACAAAATAAACACTTAAAAACAATTATTTGTTTGCTCAAAATTATAGCAAAGGTGTGTTTCAATCCAACTTTTACTTAATAAGTGCACTTTGACGGTCAAATCAGCACTATTTCAAAAGCCGATTTGCGACCGCGGGAGCATGCATGGGAGGACTCTCTGTGCATTTCTTCAAAATTTAACTAGCTAAGCACATAAAACAATTATTTGTTTGCTCGACGTTATTGCAAAGGTGTGTCTTAGTTGAACTTTTACTTAATAAATGCACCTTAATGGTCAAATTGGCCTCAATTTTGCCGGGGCAGCGCAGCAAAATTAAGCTGATCTGACGGTTGCTCCAGGCTGGACGAAGGTGACAGGTTATGGTAAGCCGAATGTGTCATTAATAGCCACTTTTACCTATTACCTATCCTTACTCATTGATTGTTGCTGTTGTTAAGCACTTTGATAACATATTATGTTTTAAATGTGCTCTATAAATAAAATTGACTTGACTTGACTATTACATGACACAATGGCATACCATACTATTTGAATGCCATCTAGTGGCTGAAAATGGTTGTGATCAATATTTTCAGTCAGAATAATTTAAAACAGTCATATCTCAGCCAAAGATTGGTTTATAAATATGGGAAAAAAAAAACATAAATAAGTTGTTTTGTGTATAAGTCGCAGGGCATGCTAATTATGCAACAAAAAAGTGACTTATAGGGAGAAAAATACAGTAAATTTGACAGTAACTCACAGTCTTCCAGAGTTAAACTTCCCAGACCCAAGCTTTTTTCAGCTCAACAAAGATCCAGGTTATTCAAAGCTCAGCTGATTTATTGGCTGTCGTAACTAAGTTCCCATTTCTTTTTTTCTCCATCAGGGAAAACATTCTGAAGACTGCGAAGGCTCTGGTCGAGGACACCAAAATGTTGGTCTCCGGTGCAGCTTCGGGTCAGGACAAGTTAGCTCAGGCTGCCCAGTCTTCTGCCAAAACCATCACGCAGCTTACTGATGTTGTCAAACTGGGAGCTGCCAGCATTGGCTCGGATGATCCTGAGACACAGGTCTGACCGTCTTTTTGTTTGTCTTTTATTCTCTGAACGTTTTATTGGGAGAACTGCTCAGTGAGTGTCACTCTTTTCTTTCTTTAGGTGGTTCTGATAAATGCTGTCAAAGACGTGGCCAAGGCACTGGCTGAGCTCATCAGTGCCACCAAGTGTGCTGCTGGCAAGGCAGCAGATGATCCATCTATGTACCAGCTGAAGAGCGCTGCCAAGGTGAGGGGATCATTCTGTAGGGGCTGAATTTGTTTTTATTTGCACTTTTTGTCTTTATTCAAACCAAACACAAGTATTTACTTTTATCTGATTAACAAAAATCTCATAAAAATCCAATTAAACATGTAGTCTTATCACAAAACTGACAGAATTACCTAATGAAAATTAACCACTCTCTGCCACAACCTGTTTGTATGCAATCCAGACGTCCTCCTCTTCCTCAGCCGGAGCAGTTAATCAATTCGAACACTCCCTTACCCTCGTGAAACCTTGTTAACGACAGTTCAAATGAGCACGGTGTCTCAGTAATGGAAATAGCTTTGGTGTTGAAGATAACAGAAACTGTTAGTTTTATCTAAGATTAAACAGTTGAATCCTGCGCTCTGACACGTCAGCAGTGTTGGAGCCACAGTTCATTATTCACTGATGATGCTTGCTGCTTATTATCACTCTGAGCTGAGAGGAAGTCTGTTCACAGTCGGTAACAGAGCTGGGTGTGATGAAGCCTTACAGATGATAAAACAAATCCTGCTTCCACTTCTGAGTTGTTGTTTTTTTTTAAGAATCTGCAAAGTGCAAACCTTTTTTTTTTCCAAGTATGAGAGTTGCAGATTTCTCTCCATTCGCTGAGCGCCTCCTATCGTTCAGTGTGGTGTATTACACCTTTAATTCAACGTATGGAGTTTGTTCATTTTGTTCTAATGTTAGGTGGTATTTTATCTGTTGGTGTTTGATTTCATCTGTAGCTTATTAACTTGGCACATGTTTAATTTCATGGATGAGCCATAAAACTTACAACAATGGCTGCTTGTCTCTATATTATTTTATATTGCTAGAGGTGGAAAGAGTACTGAAAATGTGTACTCAATTACAAATACTGTTACACTGCTTAAATTGTGCTCAATTAGAAGTAAAAGTACTGGTGTTATAAAATACTTAAGTAAAAGTACAAAGCACTCTTTTCAAAAACTAAGAGTATTAATTACTTTTTAACCTAATAATGTTTCATTGTGTCAATAGAAGGCATTCAGTTTGATTTATTGTATAACAGCTACATTTCAAAAAACATTTCTCAGACCCTCCGAAGCTCCGTCTTATTTTAGTACCAGACAAACCGATGGCAGTGACAATATCTAAGATCTTGGCATACTTAGACAAACTAATAACCCACACATACAAACAATAAAAAAGCAATATCATGAAGGTAATTGTAAAACCTCATATACCGCAATATGTTTTTTAAGATTAGATGCTGAAGTCTTGTAAGCTGCTATCACCGTAGAGATCAAACAAAGTTTGCATCTGGACGCTGTCTCCTCTCCGCACGGGCACTCGTCCTCAGCCTTTACCTCATCATTTTCTTTGTTGACAGTGTTGTTCTCTGTCTCCATTTTGACGTTTTCTCCAAATCTTCGGTCCATAAATGACTCTCTGCTCTACAGAGTTGTCCTTTGCTTACGTCATAGGTAATTGCCGTGTTCGCGATCTGAGAGCCTTGTTGGCTACAAAGATACAGATGAACGGTTTGAATATTAATTCAAATTGTGGCCATACTCAGGAGCGACTTCTGATTTTAAAATTAGTGAAGTAGATTACATGGTCTAAATTGTACTTAAGTACGAGTAAAATTACACACATGAAAGAAATAGTCATAAAAGTACAAGTACCCAAAAAATCTACTTAATTACTGTAATGTGAGTATTTGTAATTTGTTACTTCCACCCATGTATATCACTATCTTTTTTTGTTAACAGTGATAAAGCGCTGATGTGAAGTAAACTCTCTGCTCCTGACTTTTGTCTGCCAGGTGATGGTGACGAATGTGACGTCACTGCTGAAGACAGTCAAGGCTGTGGAAGACGAGGCCACTCGAGGCACCAGAGCGCTGGAGGCCACGATCGAGTGCATTAAACAGGAAATGATGGTGAGGCTGAGCAAAGAGCCAAGCAAACATTACTGTTGTGCCATGCAGGCCATATCTAACTTAAGACTAAATTCAACGTGTGCACTGTTTTCTCCCCAGCTGTTTCAATCCAGGGATGCTCCAAACAAAACCACCACACCTGAAGAGTTTATACGGATGACTAAGGGCATCACCTTAGCCACCGCAAAAGCAGTGGCTGCAGGAAACTCTGCTCGGCAAGAAGACATCATCCATACTGCCAACCTGAGCCGCAAAGCCATCTCTGACATGCTGACCACCTGCAAGGTGTCGCACGCCTCGTGCAATCTAGAGTTTCCATGTTAAACTGTAGTTTCCTTCTGAGCCCTGGGGGGCCTGAGTATGTGTGTGTTTGTCTTCTAGCAAGCGGCCTACCATCCAGAAGTCAGTGAGGAGGTGAAGAACAGAGCGCTGATGTATGGAGCTGAGTGCACAACTGGATATATTGACATGCTGGAAAAAGTGCTGCTAGTAAGTTCAACACAAACCAGGAAGGGTTTTCAGGAAAAAAAAGATTTTAAGAAATAATAATGTTCGATATTGTTGCTTAAATATGCTTTTCAGTGTTATAACCGTTACTCTTTGCATGCTTTGTAATCAAGGATAATGGTATTGAAGTAGTCAGTGAACGTGTGTGTGTTTAGGTCCTGCAGAAGCCCACTGCAGAGCAGAAACAGCTGCTGGCAGCTTGCTCCAAGCGTGTGGCGGGGGCCGTCACCGAGCTCATCCAGACTGCTGAGGCCATGAAAGGTAATGTCTCCCACACAGATGTGCACACACATATCAGACAGACATTTTTTTACAGACCTCTTAGTGTCCCTGTCCTCTTTCTCTTGCCACAGACGGAGGTAAGATAGCATCGTTTTCTGTACTGTGCCTTATTTCACCGGTTGTGAGCCATTCGTCAAGCTGTATCTCCAGATATAAGCAAATCAAATGACCCTCAGCCTTCTCAAGCATTCATTGCGCTTTATTTTGCATCGTGTTTCAAAGACATCACTCCATTTTCATTCAGTTCTTGGCCTCCGTCATCTATGCATGAAACGTGGAGATGTGTGTCCTTGCGTTCTCCTGCGTTCCCGGTTCTGTTCTTTTCTTGTGATCACAGCGTGAGGCATTTTCTGCAGTTCTGTTTTTAACGTTTAAATCCTAACTGTGTGTGCATATGCACACCTCAGGTTCAGAGTGGGTGGACCCCGAGGATCCAACGGTGATTGCAGAGACGGAGCTGCTCGGGGCAGCGGCGTCTATTGAAGCAGCAGCCAAGAAGCTGGAGCAGCTAAAGCCCAGAGCCAAGCCGAAGGTGAGCGACTGTATGATGAATTACTGAGCTGAGGGAGGGAGGGGAGGAAAGTTTATTCTAAAAGTGAGGAGATTTTTCATTGTAGTTAGGTTTTTGTTTTTTTTTTACTTCAAAAGGCATTAACTTTTTGTCAAATGCTTAAAATTGGTTCAATTACATAGAAAGAAATTATTTTAAAACACTTATTCAAAGTAATTGATAAGCTTTTTAATTGTTTTTCAAGTGTGTGTTGTGTTTTATGTGAAAACTAGAAAATGTACCTGCTATATAAATTTGATAGTGTTTAGTGTCGCCAAAATCATGTCAGATTTCACTCATTCACTCATTAGCGGCTGAAAACAGTTGAATTAGAAACACATCGTTATGACTTTGGATCATTTTTATACTTTTGTTACTTTGCACATGTTTCCTAAGAGCTTGTTCAGGCACTATCTCCTTTGATGTTGAAGAGAAGATGCACTTGATTCTGGGAGTATGATTTATCCACCTTTATTGAACCCAAACATTGATTTAATGCTTGTTCTCAAACAAAACAATGTTTTTTTAGCACATCTGTGTGCACAGGTAGCTAAACTGATGGAACTCATTTCCCTGACCTTTATTTTTACTTTGACACCCGGTACCTGCCTGGCTCCATAATGTTCTTTAGCTCGCAGTTTACTTCTGACAGAACTCCTGTCCAGAGTTTTCACTTCATCATGTTGAAATTATCATTGACTTTAGAGGATGTAATGGTCTTCATAGTACACTGATTTTGTGAAACATATATGATCAGTGTTTATTTTATCAGAATATTGCATTCCAAATTATCAAGATCTATGTAGTCATAAAAACATGAAAGATAAATTTTTACTTCTATCAGATATTGTAAGAATGCACATTGAATACAGGACGGTTTGTTGAAGAGACATATTTTTAATAGAAAATGTTACCATTTCACTTTGTTGTACTTTTCTATTCATTTGGTGTAAACAATAAAGTTTGAGCGCATATATTGAGACTTCTGCAAATATAAATCACAAATAAATGTTAGCATAAAACAGGGTAGAAAGGGTAGAAGTGGCATAAACGGGCTGAATGCTAGCACAAAGCAGTACAGAAGTAGCACTGGCAGGGTTGAATAGGAAAAAAATGGTCAACGTGCTTTGCAAGGACAAAATAAATGTTATAAGGTCTAAACTAGCATTAACAAGGTAAAATTAGCAAGGCAGAATATTGGTTAAAACCAAGGCAGAATTAGCGCAAGCAGAAATATTATTAGCATAAATATGCTAGCAAAAAGCAGATTTTAAGAGTTGAACAGGACTTGATTCATTTTCAATAAGAAGAAAATGGCCGGAAAATCTAAATATTTCAAAAAATTTTAATTACTGAAGCACCTAAAGTCACAGCAGGAATGTCCTGAAAGAGCTGAACATTTTGATATATGAATTGTTGAAATAGTACAAAAACTGTGCTGAAAAACACGTGATAAAATAACAATAAAAACATAAATAGAAACAGGAGAGTGTTGGTGTGAATCCTCTAATAAGCGTGCACACTAATTCAACTTAATTGGTTTCTTTGTTTGAACATCCTTCAATAATCTCACAAAGATTTGAATTTTGTGTCTGCAGCTGCCATTTTTCCTCATTGTTGTGTAAAATTGACAGAAACCGAACATCTTCAGCCCATCGATGGGCAGAAACTTGAGCCACCAGAACTGAATTTGAATTGCACAATTCAGTTTCAGTTTAGTGAAATTCACTTTCACTTTGCTCAATTCAAATTCAGTTCTGGTGGCTCAGGTTTCTGCCCACACCCATCATCCCCATTTACATCTCTCTCCTCCAAACACCATTCACCATCTCCTCCCCCCCAAACTCCCTCCTCCTTTCATGCGTGTTAGTAGCTCAATCTGTCCCAGTCAACTGTTTGGCGTCTAGCTCCCAGTTAGCCCCCCGCCCCCTCCCTTCTTCTCCCCCGGCCTGCCCCCACCACCGGAGGCCTTCTCTGCAGGGCTCTGTCTGATATGTTTGATATATTAGGTTGTTATTCAGTCCCAACTATATATCAAACATATTCCTACAGTGTCCCGCTCTGTCTACAGACGTGTGTGTGAACGCGTGTGTGTGTGAACGTGTGTGTGTGAGAGAGTGAGTGAGACATACAGTAGTGTTGGCCCCTTTTCAGTTTTGTGTTGCTCCTGAGATGTTGGGTCAGGCGTTGGGGGGCTTTTGTCATATCATTCTTTTATAGTCATCAATCGAACCTTTAATTGTGGGAAAATTATAAATTAAATCGATATAATCAATATACCATACAACTTTTTTTTATAAAGCACTTAAAACAGCAACAAGGCCAACCAAAGTTCTGTACAGCCGAAACAAAACAAGCAAAGGACACAGCATACATACTGTAGATCCAAATAGATAAAGATAAGAACTAAATGTCTAACAACAAAAAAGGTTGAATCATGTCATCTGGACTTCGGTTTTTTTGTTGTTATATACCTGGATGACTGAGAAAACAAACTTTGCGTAAATGTCTAACATTATAGAATACAGACAAGTTAAATATAAATGTCTACTTTTGTATCTTGTTTATTATCATAGAATTGACTGGACTTTTCTCTCCCCTCAGCAAGCAGACGAGACACTGAACTTCGAGGAGCAGATTCTGGAGGCTGCCAAGTCTATCGCTGCCGCCACCAGCGCTTTAGTTAAGTCGGCTTCGGCCGCTCAGAGAGAGCTGGTGGCTCAGGGGAAAGTGGGCTCCATCCCTGCCAATGCAGTGGATGATGGACAGTGGTCTCAGGGGCTCATCTCTGCTGTAAGTGTTGCACTGAATGCTGTCCAGGTTGCAGTCGTAGTTGTTTTGCGATAGATTTACTATTGTGACTTGTCACTCAGGCGCGTATGGTAGCAGCTGCGACCAGCAACCTGTGCGAAGCAGCTAACGCCTCTGTTCAAGGCCATGCCAGCGAAGAGAAGCTCATCTCCTCAGCCAAACAGGTGGCGGCCTCCACCGCTCAGCTGCTGGTGGCTTGTAAGGTGAAGGCGGACCAGGACTCTGGGGCTATGAGGAGGCTGCAGGTATGAACCACAGCTGTACTGATGCTGGAGAAGAAACTTGTAGCTTTGTTTTTCGAAAGCTCCTTTTTCAGAATTGGTCTTCTAACTTGACTCAGTGGATGTCTTTGTTCTGCAGATTGCTGGGAACGCAGTAAAGAAGGCATCAGATAATTTGGTGCGGGCAGCCCAGAAGGCAGCTTTCGACAAAGCCGATGAAGACAACGTGGTTGTGAAGACAAAGTTTGTGGGTGGAATAGCACAGGTAACGACTGAAGACGTCTTTTATTGTCTATCTGAGCCCGAGTCCCTCACCAGATCCTTACACTGCACTCACTTACAAAAAGCTTCTGTCATTTATAATAGTATTTTTATTTGGACTTAATGTGAAAAAATTGACATTCCAAACATTTTAGAATCTCATATTTAACATAACCAATGTGTTTAAATTTAAATGCCAACATCAGTCTATGCCATGTTTGACATGTACCGTAGTATTTGCTGAGCATTAAATACATTTTCTGCCAGAATTGATGACATGACATCCTGGAAGCAGAGCTGCTATGTCACAAAATGTTTCTTAATTTATTATTGAGATCAGTTGCTACCGCCTAAAGATGGTTTGCATTAGGGCTGAAAATTTTGGAAAATATTGTAATTATGATTATTTTTTACCTCAACATTGCGATTTAATATGCAATAATTTTTCAATGTCTTATGTATTTTTCTACAAACACAAGCAATAAATCAATCTGTTTCAGTTGCAAAAAACTCCACTCCAACAATTTTCAGTCAGGTCATCTGGATAGTTTCTTTTTTTTTGTGTGTGCTGAAACATTTCACCTTCCATCCAGAAGACTTCATCAGTCAAGGAAACACAACACAAAACTGATTCTTCCCCCAAACAGCTTACTCCAAAGTGAAACAAACCAGTTATGTTAGTGCTAAGATGGTCTCTGTGGCACGCCCCGTCCTCCAGTGCCGCCGGCCTTCTTCCTCGCCGACAGTCATGTCAAACTTGTTCAAAACGCTGCAACTCTGTTTCTGCATTTTTTTTGTATAGCTCCAGAATAGCAACTTGGCTAAAATGTGTGCGCAAGGGCGTTCTGTTCCGCTTATCCATTGTGTTTACCAAAGCTGTAAACCCTGGCTTGGTCACTATATTAATGGGCGTCATGTCTTTTGCTATGAACTCCGTTATTTCTCGAGTTATTTCCACGTGCCGTTTTGAATTATGTTCATACGGAGTAATATCTTCGAACAGTTCGGTCAGTGATCCCTGTCGGCTGCTACTTTGCTTACTTGAAGTTGAAGCACTGGTCGTTGTCATTCTAGTCATGCAATTCGTAAATGGCTTTGTGGTGTTTTTTTTAAGTGTTGATAAAGATTTGTGGTGTTACCTCAAGAGGTAGCAACAGCAGCAAGGCAGGTTCGGTACAATACATGTCGTTGCACAGCGTCTTCTTCTTTATAGACAAAATAATTCCAAACAACGGACGTGCTGCTCCTCTTTGGTATCAAACTTTCAGATGTGTCAGCTTCTGTCGAGCCTGACGCCATTGTGCAACCGGTTAAAACACGGTGTTGACTTCTCCCGCTCCCTGCTCTGCTTTGCCCCGCTCACTCGCAAGTGACGTAACCAGATCACGTGACCAGTCAAACTGCAGCCTTTGCAATTAGAAAATTTTGTTTTATCATATTGCGATATTATTGCAAATGCAATTAATTGTTCAGCCCTATTTTGCTTCTGACGTTTTTGTGTTGATAATGTTGGATTTTTATGTTTATTGTTCACCATTGACTATTATTATTTATTTTTAAAGAGAATTTGACTAGGGAAGCTTGGTTTAGTTTATAATTGGTGTGTGTGTGTGCTTGCGTGCGTGCGTGTGTGTGTGTTATCAAAGTTATATGCATAAATGCAAACAGCCTAAACTTCTGATAATAACTCCTCTTGTGTTTTCAAGTTGCCATTCTCGTTAGCACATTTATTTTCCCTTTTATCACCAGTTCTGTTTTTGTAACTATAAACTTGTTAGAATTAAAGTTTAGTGTGGTTGCAACAAATTTTTAGATTATTATACTAAAAAAATATGAACGTAACATTTTAGTTATTGCTCCCATTTTTCACGAGCTGAACTCAAAGATCTAAGACTTGTTCCATGTACTCAAGAAGCCTTTTTCTCTCTAACATTGTCGTCAAATGTGGCCTTTTATTGTGGTCAGCCTAAGGCACACCTGTGCAATAATCATGCTGTCTGATCAGCATCTTGATGTTCCACAGCTGTGAGGTGGATGGATTATCTCCGCAAAGGAGACACAGATTTACACAATTTTGTGAACAGTGTTTGAGAGAAAAAGACCTGTTGTGTTCATAGAAAAAGTCTCAGATCTTTGAGTTCAGCTCATGAAAAATCAAAGCAAAAACAAAAGTGTTGCGTTTATATTTTTGTTCAGTATCTATTATTTTATGGTTACCGTATTTTTCAGACTATAAGGCGCACCGGATTATAAGGCGCATTAAGCAAAACAAAACAGATAAGTCAAACTTTATTCAGCTCATTCACAATAACCAGATAAGTACAACCAGAATTAATACATGAGGCGCACCGGATTATACAGCTCACTTTTGATTTTTCAGAAATTTAAAGGATTTTAAGCGCGCCTTATAGTCCAAAAAATATGGTAGTAATTATTTATAAATGTGACACATTAATAGGTTTTGAAAAATCAAAGCTAGTGTTAAAAGTCAGCAATGATGTTCTGTTTTATAAACAACTTGTTTTCCTTGTTCAGATTATTGCAGCGCAGGAAGAGATGCTGAGGAAGGAGAGGGAGCTGGAAGAAGCCAGGAAGAAGCTGGCTCAGATCAGACAGCAGCAGTACAAGTTCCTGCCCAATGAACTGCGAGAGGACAGCAACTAATCACTGCTGCTTCCACTTAACACTAATGTGAAGAGCGCACCTGCGCTAACGTGCAAATGTGTGTCCTAACGGCGCTCCTGCACAGGTATTTTATCTACAGAGACGTCTGTGTAAAACCTGCAGTGAATGCTGCCGACTTCTTTATATGGACAGATCTTTTCAGCTTCTAGCGAGTTCAAAATACTACTGTGTGAAACTGACTACTTCCTGGAAAATAGCATCAAGATTGTGGTGACCTGACTGAATTTACTCTTGTCCTTATGTATAGGATATAAGGCAGAATGTGACAGACGTAGGACAAAGCACAGCTCACATACGCTCTGGTTTGCTCATAAGCTACTCTTTTAAGTTTGCAGCTCTTAATGTACAAAACCTTTCAAATGAAAAACTGATTGTACTGATATTTGCCATATAACTGCAGCATTAATCCTAAAGCAAAAACCTTTCAGCTCGGTACTCTGATAGTGTGAATGTTGGACTTGTTTGCTCCAGTTTGCACCTTAACGTCTGTGAATCGCATAAACCAACAGTGGCATGTCTTCTCTTTATTACAGAGCTCACTAACTAATGTGAAGGAAGAATTTAGCATATTGATGTTTCTTGAATCATACTGTGGTTGTTTTTATTAATGTACTTTTTGTTTGGGGAGACTTTGTTTATTTCAATCAACTTTTACTTTTTCTCAAATTTTCATGTCAATATTTCTCTGTTCTTTAGACAAAGCATGTTAAGGTTAAAGAAAGTTTACTGTCAGAGCCCTTATGTATAAGTTTGGATTCTGTTACCATGTGAACGCTGTTTTCCCACCTGTTACCTGCAGAATGGTTATTTATTACGAGTGTTTTAGCAGAGCGGGATCTTCTTTTCAGGGTCAGATATGCCCAAAATTTATATCTTGGCTTTCAGTTAAAGTGACTGATATAATCCCAAACCTTCAAACATCTTTTTTTAATTATTATTAATCATACAGGTGTTGATTGATACAGACAGTATGAACAGTTTAATCACAATGCAATAAGATGAATGGTGCTTTACGGGGTACCATTGGTTTCATTAACAACATGTAAAATTAAAACCCAGAGTTGAACGTTTTAAGGAGTGATTAGATTTGAGTACAGACTGAGCATGCAGAGTAGCTCCTTCCTCATGTCAGTTCACACTAAATGAAAAGACGACATTTCCCCCGGATCAGTTCAGAACCATGCAGAGCCACTTCTAAGTGTGTGGTAGATTTACCTCGGTCCGTTGTTCCTCCCATTAGCAACTTGTCATGGTTTGAACAATTTTGTTTTTCTTGTGTTTTAATTCCACTTCAGGAAACGTCAGAAAGTTTAACATCAACAACTTGGCAATAAACTACCTAAATGTTTTTTTTTTTTTAGGGAAATTGTAATAGGAGTGACTGCAAAGATAATCTTTAATATTTGTCTCCTTTTCTGGGTTCAGCAACTTTATGAAGAATTCTCTTTACTGCGACAGAACCTTTTGTTACCAAGTTTGATTGTAATGTGCGAGTTCTTCTTCCTCCTGTCTCACAATATAGGTTGTGTTTTACTTTTATACAACGGTGTCTGCTATAAGATTAGGTCCTGCTGTGGAAAAATGCATGGCTTTGTGCTTCAGTATTTTCCGGCATATAAGTCGCAGTTTTTTGCATAATTAGTCAGTCCTGCGACTTGTACGCCAAAGCAACTTATATACTCTTTTTTTTTTCCATGTTCATAACGCAATTTTTTACTGATGCTTTAACTTTCAAAGAACTGCAACAGCGAGTCCTCCCATGCGCGCTCGCTTCACTCAGCTGGTGCAGGCGGAGGAATGCTGGAGAGCTAACGGCTCCGGCTGCGATGGATGGATGGATGGATGTTTTTTCCTCTTCATGATGCTTTTTTTGATTGATGCGACTTATACGCCGGAAAACACAGTAGTAACAGTATAGCACAGCTTAAAGGGATAGTTTAAATCTTTTGAAGTGGGGTTTCGTGGAAAGTTCATGGACAGTTCATGCCTCAGCTGTTGTAGATTTACATTCGAGCAACTTTAGTTTGAAGAAATAGTTTAATTTTGCCAAATGAGTGTACTAACAGCAAGTCCAAGTGGGGCCAAATCCAAAGCTGCCTATAGTAATTCATGTAAGCACTACTTTATGAACTTTGACTATGTCATCAATTTAATATTAGTCCATTAAATTAGGATATTCTTACTGGAAGTGATACAGCTAGCTGCTGCTGCACTAATTGCTCTTACAAGTAACCGTAGTGTTTCGATGGGAAACTGATGCTCGTGAAAGGGTTTTTAAACATTGTTTGCATGAATCGCTGTTTTAAGTCCCTTTAAAACGTGGGGCGGGGTGGAATCCACATTGGTCTTTGCCCGACTCGGACTAGCCATAGCTCATCGATCCAATCAGAAATTCGCTCTTTCTCCAAAATGTGGTCGTTCAAAGAACATCTGCAACAAATATTTATTGTTTATAACCTTTCTACAAAGCCTCACTTTAAAACTAATAGTTTAAGACAGTTTTGTTACATTTCTGAGGGTTGTGTTTGGTGTGTGTGTGTGTGCATGTGTGAGCACTGAAAAGAAGAGATGAGTTGGGAAGCATCCGCTGCTCATCACTTAAGTCTGTAGAGTAATTTTTAGTGCCTTAGTTTACCCATACAGTGTTTGCTGCTTCAGTGACAGCTTCCTGATCAGTAGAAGACGAGTTTAGACACGTAGGTTCATGTCTGTGGGTTTTTAAACACTTGCTAACATACTGTTCCTCTGAAGTGCTGAGACAACTGCTCCTCCTTTCTCCTCTCTGCCACACGTGAAGCCTTTTAGGAGGAAGACGAAGGGACCGTCTGCCAGTCATAAAAGCGTGTCGCAGTTTAAATTGTACTTTCAGCGTGTACATCCCCATGTATGAACACATTTTTGTACTGACCGTTCTGAGCATGTACCACAACACTTCTCAACAGCACAGACTGAAGTTTGTCCACTGCTTTACTGTATATTATGACGTGTGAGGTTTTGGATAAGCTTTTGTTTTTGTGCTGTAAAGATTCTCTTGAAAGATAAGTGTGTATTTGGATAATATCTGACACCATTTCAGCGCTGTGGAGTACTAATTGTTAAATGTTCCCTCTTCAAAGAAAATAAATTAGGAGGTTACTTCACTAGAGATGAATTAAAACGTACAGTAATGAAGATATTTATCTGGGCTCAATGAAAGTATTTTTTGTATTCACTAAAAATAAAGCATTTCATTGTAATGGATCGGTTTTCATGTGATTTATAAGTGACAGACAACTTATCTTTTAAAATGTGAATTTGTAATTCTAATTTTAAAAGCACTTCACTGCATAAGTTTTACTATAAGCCCTGCAATAGTCCCATCTGTTATAAATCAGTACGTATTGATGCAGCTTGATTCAAAGATTGTAAAGTATTTGAAATGCAGACTGAAGTCTTTCGGATGAAATACGAAACGTTTCTACAATTTTTTTTGTTTGGTTGTTTTTTTTTGTTTTGTTTTGTTTTTTGAATGTCCAGAGGATCAGACTTAACATTTTTAGATGTATTTAAAATAGATTGACATTTCTGTCTAATATCCTGCAGCACCTATATTGTTTATTTCACAGTTCATGAATTACTTTGGGCAGAGTAGCTTACGCTAAACAAGTGTCAATATAGGTTTTTTTTATTTGACCAACATTATTCTGTTAAATCAGTAAAATAAGTAATTTAAATAAGTAAAGTTCACATTTAACTTTTGCCATAATTTTCCAACCTGAATGCAACAAACGGCTGGGATTCACCTTAATTTACAAAAATTCAGTATCAAAACACCCCCAGGGTTTATTCTTTCCAATTTGTAGCTAACTTGTGGTTAAATTTCACTCTTAAAAGTTTGTTTTTCCCTTTAGGAAATGTGAGCAACCCCACTCTGTCTGTTTCGTCCATGTTTGATGTTTGAGCATCATTCCTGACTGGACGCAGAACCAATGGAAGTTTTCAGGCGAATAAGAAAGAGAGGTCAATTATGTCAAGTACACAGAGTCCTCTTTGGTGTTCGGAGAACAAGACTGTATTTCTGAGTCAGCACAAAACCAGAGGCTATATTGAGTCCAGGCCGAGAACTGTGAACTGCGCTAAATTTGTCCGGCACTAAAATTTGAGGAGGCAACGTCTGTTCCAGTGGTGCAGCTGTTCCTGGGACAGCTTCACACCTGCCGTCTTTCTCCTGACATTGTCTCAGCCTTTTCTGGCCACATAAGTGAACTATATCTAAATATCATTTTCATGTTAATGATGGATTTATCTTGGAGCAAGTGGGTCCGTTAACACTGATGTGTCTGAGAAAAAGAAGACTTAAAAAGGATGAGGGCATTAAATGAAAATGGAGTAAGACGGCTTGTTTATTACTTGGAGGCATGAAAAATGTATTTATCCTCTTCTGCCTTCAGCTACAATTACCAGTTATTTTAAGTGAAAAGTTCAATGGCTACCTAATGTTTCACACCAGTGTCCATACACATAAATATTTTTGCAAAACCTCACCCAAAAAGCTCCAAACATCTTCAAATAACTGGATTGCATTGAACCAATAAAGTCAAATTTGGAAGCCTTTGATACTTTCCTGAGAAATTTTTATTTCATCCTTAATAATTAAAGTGCCCCATCATTCCTATGTGTAATGAACCAGTCCCTACAAAATCCAAACACTTACTAAAATATATGATTTTTAGGTGAACAATAACTCTTAACACATTAATGGGCATAAACGGGGAAAGATCAGCTAATGAAAGCAGATTTAAAGGTCTTTCCACTTTACAGGTGGCTCTTCAAAGGACTGGGATGTCACTATTAGCAGGTGAAATGCTTCCTGGCATGATGGGAATTCAGGGAATTATGTAGGCTGTTATCCCACCTGTCTGCCATGCAGCTTTAACATCATAACTTTGTTTTTTCTGGTGTGAGGAAGCTTTCTGCAGAGCTGAGCCATAAAAGAAGCCAGATTTATAAACTGTATAAACATACTGTTGTATATACAGAAAGAGAGGTGTAAGCAAATCAAAAAGCTCTAATTTTTATTAGTGAAAGTGGCTGTCTAACAAATAACCCCCCTGTCTTAATCCAATAAAATCCTTATTTTCTGGACAAGTCCAGCATGGTGATGATCGTCTCTTGGGGGTCCAGGGTGTGAGGGTGACATGATTGTGCCGTGAGAGACTCTGATCTCTGTGTATGAGTGGCATGTTCGGCTGGCTGCTGCGCTGTCCACAAAACACATGGCAGGAAGACAACGTGATGACAGCTGGCTGCTTTAAAAAAGCCCTGCAGGAGAGATGCCAGGCCACCAAAGAAGCAAAA